CACCCAAACCCCAGTACCCACTTTATGGACTATCAACAGTACTTTGATATCAACCTTTGGTACTCCAACTTCCAATTCAGATGGCCTAGAAGGGACTAGTGGGCGTCTTTTGATATTCTGAATGAATCCTTTTTCCTCTGGCTAATCCGGCAGCCTGGTTGGTGTAATACTTGCCAAATACTCAGTCCTCATTTAGTTTGCCTTTGGTGTCCGGTTCCCCAAATGATAATCCTTTACGTAGTATTGTCAAAGATCTGTGCTACTTCTCTACTTGGAACTTCCTAAGCGAGCTTCTGTATCTCCCAATCTCTTGGATTTATTTGGCTGCTTCACTCAGGTTTCATGTAACTCATACATTACACTACGTTCTACAACCTCCCAATATGAGTTGGTGAAACCAAAGTTATAGGTGCTTACTCGATCGATATATCATACAGTTTTACCATAATGCATTTCCACAAATTCGAATTTTGTCACCAGTGGGATTCAAACTCTTGTTCTGCCATTTGGGAGTACGACAACTTACCAACTACACTAAGTCACCACACCCTTACAAGGTTTATTTACTTGAACCAAGAACATATATATATATTATTTATTTAACAGATAAGATAACTAAGATCTTTAATATATAGTAAATATAGTAATGCAGTCTAATTGATAGTATAGTCCAAGGATAGTAATACACGATAATATGTTTTTAGTAAAGTATAATAGTTAAAAGATGGATTAGAATTACTTTGGATTTAAAAAAAACTTCGCTTTTTGTTAATAATAAATTCGTAAATTGAAAAAACTTTAATTGATTAGTTAATACAGTCCTGGATATTACCAAACTTGGATGTTGCAGATCACTCCCTTTTTTATATGATTAGAAAATTCTCGAGACTTCTATTTAAGTCTATAACTAGTCTATAAAAATCCTTGAGGCTAAATTTACACCCATCACCATTTGGTTTCTTATTTGATAAACAACTGCTTTTTAAAGCCCTTGGGATCATGGTGAATTCTTAGACTATATAGTCATAGGACAATTTATATTAAAATTAATTCGAAGATTTATTTTTAAATAAATTTTTTTTTTAAAAAAAAATAAAAATACTATATAAATCAGTTCTAAAATAGTCTTTTACTAATAGTAGATCAATTTTTATATTTGGTAATATCTGAGACTGTAATAGTCATGCATGAATTTATATAAATTAGCCAATCACATAAATGTTATAGTCCGTAAAAATACGAGTTATTGCTTACAAATAGGACTGTCCCAAATAAGAAAATGATAATTTTGATCATACATATTAACTTAGTCAATTAAAATCATAAATTTTTTATTATGTGAAAAATATCATATGTTGATTAGTCAATCAAATTAGAAATTTTTATAAAATGAGAAACAGACAAAATTTAATTAAAAATAAATGCTGTTAAATATTATTGTTCAGTAAGCAAATATGTATTATTAAATTTAATTAGAATTATTGATTTTTCTATAACATTTATTTTCATTTATTTACGAATCTTAATAATATAGATATGATTAATTATACGTTTAATTTAACGTTTAATCCTACATCTAATTCTAAATCTACTCAAAATTCTAATATTTTATACTATACTATTTTATACAACTATTATTCTAATAAGAAATTCTTGCGATTTTAATATATCTTATATATAAACTTCATATCATATTATAAGAACACTTATAATAATATTAATAAATCATATAGTTAATTAATATTATTCATATACTTTCAGTTTTTAAAGAATTTCTATGCAATATGTATAGTAAAAAATACACAAACTAATTTTTTCCTTCTACATTAATGTTATTGCTTATTATTTTAAGCTTTTTTCTATGTTTTTTTGTTTAACAAAAAAAATTTGGCCATGTAGTGATTGTAACTTACTTATAACTTCGGTAGGTGAATTTTAATATAAAGGTTGAATAATTCAGAATGATTTAACTAATATTATTATAGTATGGTATGAAAACTTGAAGTGTTCTTAGTACATTTGACTGGGTTTATAGATGAGATATCTACTTAAGCTTCTGAAAAAAGTATTGTAACATGTATAAAAAAATTTATAAATCAATTTGAATCATTTGTGTAATGATCTACAATCTCGGAGCATACTCGGAATGGTCCTACCTGCTCATAAGAGGAAATTCGTCTGATTGGCTAATTTTTATGGATCTACCCGTGATTATCCGTGATAATTAACCAATCAAATTACAAATGTTAAAAGAATTTATCATTATTAATGTTATTATCAGGAAATGAAAAAACTTTATTATAAAGAAGCATACAAATTGATAAACATACATAAAGAATTCACCAAATATATTTAGAAACTGAATATAAATATGTAAAGTAGGATAAAAACAGTATTTATTACGTTTAAGCCAAACTTATTATACAATCTACAATCTATCAGCCGAGGCTTAATTTATGGTGTTAAACCCAAATATACTACAAATTCAAATATTAAACCTCGTTCTACTACTATTAAAGAGTCTATACCTACTCAAATTAAGCAGTTAATACTGAAAGTTCACTTAGATCTAACATCGTAAAGCAGCAATTTGGCAAAAACATTTCCAGTACCTTTAATATATAATATAGTCTTGTGTAGCCCAATAAACGGCCGTATTTTGTCTTCAAGGCAAAGTGTGTTAGTTTTGGGATCTTTTTGGGATTCTTTTGCATAATAAATGTTAACACCTCTCTAATATTAATAATGTTATCTAAGATGATTTTTAATTAGTGAAACATTAAAGTGTATAAATAAGTTACCCAGGCAATTGATCTACATCAGCCAATCAGACAAACTTTCTCCTATGATCTACAATAAACGCTTGTTTTGAATTTTCTGATTGTGTTATGTTACACCTGATCTTGAAATCTGATTGGTAGTCTGGCACTAACTTGGCACACAATTCAGACATCCATTTATAAAATTCCACAATTTCTTCAAATTCTATAGACACATCATGGATTTTTACCAAGCAAATGCAATCGAAAAGTGGACATGTATAACTTTAATGGAATATTATTGTTTGAAAATGAATCAAAGAGATAGGAAGATAATTTTGTACTCCATTAAAAAAGACTTTGAAGCAGTTTTAGAATCCATTTTATTTGATATAATAAAAAAAGAAAAGGCTCAAGAAATCCTTGACAACTGGAAGGTATACTTATTTAGTAAAAATAGGATTTGAATGGATTAAGTGATCGATCTGAACAGTTATGAACTGCATGTTCGACGCTAAGTGCAAACTAGGACTGCGCGTCTCCAGTTATAAACTGTGTGTTTGATGCTTAGTGCAAGCTGAGACTGCGTGTCTTACAAGGAGGATCTTTTAATCTAATGTTCCTTTTGTTTTATATTGTTGTTTTGTTATTTTGTAAGATTTTGTTTTTTCTAATTCTTGTATTTATTTTGCCAAGCAATGGAAATCACTGATAAAGAACTTGAAAAACGATCATGAACATGCCAAGATCGAGTATCTGCAGGTAAAACAGATAAATCAACTTGCAACCGGCAGTGGCGCGATATACAATAATAATCGTATAACTTCAAGAAAACGTTGTTGAGATGTGAATGATGAAGAGGCTAATACAAAAAAAAGGTATATTTATCAGTTCGACTGTCGTCATTAATTGTTAGAATATATGACTAACATACTATATGCGTTGTGATCTAGTGGTATTCAGCACCTAATGATAAGACACCTCGCGAATCAAATAATCAAATGGAAGAATTAAGTGTAAATATCTTCATCTAGAATGTGTATATTGATTGAAATAATCTTAATATGTTTTATTTTATTTCTTGACATGTCTTTAGAAAAATAAGGAGAATGTTATTTCCAGTAGCAATGATCTCAATGAAATATTGGAATTAAATATGATGAACTAGAAGAATTAGAACATCAAATAATGTCCAATTTATTAAATGAAATATTAAGTAATAATTAGACTTTCGACTTCTGTTTATTATATAAGTTATGTTTTTTAAGTGATTTTTATATTTTAGTGGAATGTAGGGACAGTTAACGTGTCACAAAAATTTAGAGAATATTAATTACTAGTGAATGTTAGACAGAAAAAAATAAAATTGACGTAAAGCAATGTATTCGAACTATTGTAAGTACTTTAAAGATATTTATAGTTATATTTATGTGTGAAGAAGTATAGAATTTATTTATTCTATTATATTTTAGGGCCTTATCATCTATAATTGTAATGTACTGGCCTTGTCCCTACTCTACAATTACAAGTTTTGAATAGCGACAAGTCCTTAATTCGAATTCATATAAAATTATGCAACCTGTTTTAACGGATTCACTCTTAAATACTTTATATCAAGCAACCAATAACTTTTCACTTGGTCTAAACTATGACTTAATTTTAAATAATGATAACGATGAGTTTGAAGAAAAAGCTAGTCGTATATTTCATTACATGTAAGCCATTGTATTATAGGAAACGATCAAAAAATAATGAAGTATTTATTGGAAAAATCTCAATTTTATTGATTTTTTTATTTTAGTAAAGATGAGTTTCCATTATCATCAAAACAAAAAGAAACTGAAAATAACACTATATCTATTATGTAAATCTGTTTATACACACCTTACAACCTGGAATTAAACAAAAGTGTAAATGGAAAACAAAGGCTGGATTTTAGCTGTGCAGTTGATAACATAGTGATTTTAAATTCTGAGATCAAACTTTTGGGATACACTCAGTTAAGGAAAGATCAAGACTTCGTAAAAGTACATCTTAAAGGAAAGGCTTCAATTAACAAGTTATTAGAAAATAGAGAGCCTAACAGATCAGTGGCTTTTTTAAATATAGATATATATCTGTTATAATTATATATTTGTTATCTTGAAATATATTATTTACAAAATTTATTCGATTTAGGGGATACCATAGAATCGTTTGTAATTGATTTAGCATATAATGGTATATATAGATCATGGCCATGTCTTAAAAACAAATTGGCAATTGATAAAGGATCA